TATGATTATTTAAATTTTAAATAAAATTCAAGACAACAAGAAAATTATGAAAATTTGGAATGCGCGCATATAAAGAATGGAAATGATTTTTTTTTTAAAAAAAAAGATGGCAAAAACAACTTGTCCAAAAAGTCTTGCAAAGTAAAGATTTTATTTTAATTTATGTCTTACAATTTTTGGATTTGAAACTCAAAAAAAAAAGTCAAGCATAAATAAAATTTACTTACTTCGGAAAAAGACAATTTCAATAATTTCATTCGAGAAATATTTCATATTTATTAATGAAGTAATTTAATGATAATAATTATTATATGACTTACAGCGCGAGCGAATCCCGAGAATCTATTGAATGATTTGAAAGCATTTGTCACTAATTGAAAACTTTTGTTGGCCATTTTGATAGCTTGAATACATAAAAAATCCAAAAGATGAAAAATTCGAGAATTGGAAGAATTTGGAATTCGAAATTAGATTATATTAAACAACCGGTACACACAAAATTTCTCTCTTAAAATTAATCACCGTTTCTTCCTTTATTCATAATTTCTAATGCAATATTAATTTTACTAGTTTAATGAAATTTAATTTTTTTTTATTTTAGGAGTTATTTTTAGAGTTAGAAATCAAAAAGAATGAATTGATATTACTAAAGATTAGTTCACGCTTAATGCACTGATATTTCCATATAGAATTCGTTGACTGTTAACGATCTAATGATAAAATTAACATTGGTTTTTTTTCTTTTGAAATTTCGATATAATCCCCGTAAATTTAATTAGCAAAAATTATTTGAATAGTATTGATGTATTGATTTCATCAAATTAATATCAACAATGATTAATCATTCACAGACGAATCAATTTTAGATGTTTTATTTTGCAATCAAAGTTTAGAATACAGAAGAATTTTTTTTAACTGATCATTTCAACATTGGCAATATTAAAATTAAGCTTTTAAAAATTTCTCACAAAGTCCTACATTTCCAATTTTTTTTAATTTAAAAATATTACAATAAAAACATTCAATGGATTGATATTTTATGTGTTTATATATAGCAAAGATTTTAAGCTGATGTTAGTTAGCTAAAAGTCAAAAAATACGGCTAAAGATCAATTTTGAATGGAGGATCCAAAAATTCAGAGAAATTGGAAAAACGAAAAAGAATTCGACTATAAATAACATACATAACATTCAAATAACATACATAACTAAAGAAAATTAATTCATTTCATTAATTCATTAACATCGTATAGTTTTAAAATAAATTCAAAAAAATTTTGCATGCAATAAATTTCAATTATATGAAAACTGATTTATTTGCAAGAAATTGTTGTCGACGCTCTTTTCTTTCAGCTTGCTTTAATTTTTTTTCTTCTTGCTCAGCTCGAATTTCTTCCTCAAATTTGCTCAGCTTTATTTGTTCTTCGATCTTTAACAAAAAAAAAAATGTAAATTTAAAAAAAAAAAAAACACGAAACTGTTTGCTGAACAAATGATCATAGTTGCTGTAATTTATTCTTATCTGATTATTATTGTCTACAATTATAAAAAATAAATTACTGATCAAAGTAAAATTCATTAAATTTGTTAGACTAATTTAACTTTTAAAAAGGAGAAAGAATAAAAACAGGAAAATAAATGATTAAAGCATTAAATTTTTAAAATTTCATTATCAAATTTTCAAAAAAAGAGCAGAAAAATAGAAACTTTAGCTTCGAAGAAATCGGCAGCAGCATGTACTCCTTCTTTGACCACATCAACTGATGCAGCTAATTCGTTGAAAACTGTCGCACAAGACAACTGACCAGTGGATGCATAACGGAATATGAGCATGAACTCACGTGGACTTACTTTACCATCCTGATCTTCATCAACCTGAAATAAGTTTAAAACTTTGTTTTTTTGCATAGTGATATATCCGGGAAGTACTGAAGATTCAATAAACTTTGAGAATGAGAATTCTTTTGAAGTACTACAATAGCGTTTACATACGAACAAATGCTATTTATCTGTTTTGCTTCCAATGTTTGATTCACTTTATAACAAATAATAGAGATCAATGATCGATCAATAAGCTTGTTTTAAAGTATTGCTATATTCCAGAATATTTTTATATGAATTATTTTAATAATTATTTTGGTTGCAAAATGCAACAATCTTGCATGCATTCAATAATACAAAATTTTAATTAAAAAATATAAAAATTACCAATTTGAGCATATTTTTTAATGCAATATGTGTTTGTGCTTCACCCAGTTTCTCCATCATTCGTTTTAATTCATTGAAATCAATGTAATTATCGTGATCTTCATCATATCTATAATTTTATACATTTTTTTTTTCTTACATCTTTAACAAATAATTGATGAAAAAGTATCAAATATTGATATGAATGATATAATTGATAATTGGCTTATGCTACTACGATGAATGAAAGAGAGGAGAATGAAAATTTGATTGTTCACGAAGAGAGGGAGAAAAAATTTTTAATTAATAAAATGATTTGAAGAAGATTAAGTTTCTTCTTTTTTTCACAAATTAAACATATGCATTTGATATACTAAATTTTAAGTAACTCATAATTCTTAGATATTTGAAATTTTAAACTTTAAATTTGAAATTAAAATTTGAAATGCTTTCGGAACTTTTTAAATGTCTCCATAAAATATTTGATTTGTTTTCGTGTAAATTCATGAAATTCGGAATAAATAGAAAGCTTCGGTGGCTTCACTTGTTCCACTGGTTCACCTGTAGTACATGAATTTACTGTAACAATAACAATAATGAAAATAGTAATTTACTTAAGTGATTAATTAATTAAAGTAAATCGAAAAAAAAAATGCAATGATATACAAATAAAAAAATGAGATGGAAAATGAAAAGAAAAAAAAAAGCAAACCTTCAGCGATCATATTTCTTCTAGCTAATTTGGCAGCCAATTCATTACAATTGTTGGTGACAGTTGATTGAGAATTTGTTGAGCAAGTTGGTGAAGTTAGCGTCTGATTCATATCTATCTTGAAATTATCAATTTATTTTAATCAAAAATTATATCAAATTAACAAAACATTTGATGATAACATTGAAAAGAAAAAATCAAGAAATCTCATAAGTAAATATAAAAAAATTGAAGTACTATTTGAACATTAATTATGTGAAGGCTAAGCTTTCCTCTAATTTAAAAGCATAAGTTTTAACTATTTTGGCCATTTAGTCATTTAGCTATTTTACTAGGCCATTAATTGCTATGTGAAAAAAGAACATATCAATATGTGGAAATTGTTATGATAAAAATAAAAAGGAAAGAAAGAAATGATCGCACTTTGCATGATTAATGCAATGATTCATGCAAATAAGAATTACCATTTTTTCCTTCTTTTTCTTGCCTGTAAGCTTTTACAAATTTTAATAAATTATTTTTCATGCACCAACTCTTCCTTATACAATCAAAATTAAAATTCAAAAAATAAAGTAGAAAAGCAAATGAAATTCATTCTAATGATAAAATGTTAACTTTCAAAAATATGTAACTTAGAAATATTGTTAAGAGAAAAAAAAATCAAACAAAAATAATGAATTCAGTTAGATTAATAAAAAATTAAATTTTAAAATGAAAAATTTGACAAAAAAAAGCAATTCATTGTATTTTGCTTGGCTATACATTTAAAGATACTCTTTGCCTGCTCAAATCTCTTCTTAGAGAAGTTAAACCCTTATAGGAGTATAAAGAAAAAAAGGGCCTAATTAAATGTTGCTAATAGGATAAAGCAATATCTATTCTACTACGCTTTAGCCAAAAGGATTGTCTTAAAAGACAAAAAAAAAAAAATTGGTAAAGGGCAAAATGAAATTGATTTTTTTCTCTCGAAATGAACAAGATAGGCTGGCTCTCGAAGAGTAACAATAATTCATGCCATATCTTCTCTTATAAATGAGGATAATTCACTTGAAAATCCAATAAAATTATAGTTTGATAGCATTTTTGCCGATAACTAATAGCTAATTGGGAAAAGTCGTTCTCTTTACTATAACATAGCATTTTTTACTAGAAAAAAAAAAATTTTAAATCATTAAAATATGGCGGTGATTTAAAAAAAACGAGAAAATGATGGAGAAAGGAAAATCATCAATTTAATTTACTGATTATGCTTTGATTTGATTATTTGAGCTTATTACGGTACTATTCTGAAGCTTAAATTGATAATACATTTATAAGCGTGATATTATCATGAAGCATGAATGACGTAGTAGAATTACTCAATATTGATTAACTAAAAATGTAAAAATGTGATTGAAAGTGTAGTAAAATAAAAAAAGGTATAAAAAAAAAAAACTGGAAATCAAACAATTTTCAAGTACTTATAAATCAAATAAATGGGACGAGGGCGGTAATAATTGATATTTTCACTGATAGTTTTTGAAAAAAAAAAATCATTTTGATCATCATTGTAACATTTATAATCAGAAAGAATTGAAAGGAATGAAAAAACTTATCTGAATGAGCAATAGGAAGGGTTAATTAATCATTTTATTAATCTTTTTTTTTCATTAGGTAATAAATTTTGACAAATTTTTTAAATTAGAAAAAAGAAATACAAAAAAATTACCAAATCATAAAATTAAATTTTTTTTCATTCAACTAAAATTTTCCCTTACAAATTGCCCACACACATATAATTGGTACTGTAAATTTCTCGGCTATGATTTTTTATGATTTTTTTTTTCTTTTTGAAAATAACAAATATATTCCTTAGATTGAATGTAATATTTTGAGTTATTTGTATAGAAAATAAAATTAAATTGCGAAATTCATTTTAGCTGTAATATTTGCATAGCCCATTCTTTATCTCAATCATAGTTTTTGGTCGTTGAAGAAAATTTTGAAAAATAGTACAAATTATAAAATTAATTTTTTAATCACTCCTTCTCTTTTTTTTTTCCTTATCAATTCATTTTCATTTTATTATGGAAGCGGAAGTTGTGATGAGATGAATAACAATGAATGAATTTTTTTTGTATGCTAAATATCCACGGAATGTTGTTACCGTGACAACTGGGAAGAGGAAATGTAAATGATGAGAGTTAAAAAGTTCAATGTCCATATTAGAAGGAAAAATTTTTCCTTCCAAAAATTTTTAAATAAATTTTTGTTAAAATGAAAAGCGCGTAACCAAAAAAGAAAAAAAAAGAAATTGCTTTTGCTTTGTTCAGATTTTCAGCAAAAGATTACAATGATTGAATGAAATGATTCAAAATTGAACAACAACAACAACAAACCCTTCAAAGTATGCAATGCGATGATTAATAACTTTCCTTTTTTTTTTTCTCTCTCTCTCTCTTTTTTTTCAAACGAAATGAATGATGCAATAAAAATTTTGAAGTAACCTTTTTTCCATCTCTTTCTTCTTTCTCTCTCATCACCGCATCAATTACATGCTCTTTCATGATTTAAAATAAATTTATTTAGCAAATTGATGAAATTGATGCAAAAGTATTGTACGATATCGTTTTATGATTAAAAATTCAAAGATTTATATTTGATTAAAAAATTCAAATCAAAAAATTACTATAGGGAATTGTAAAAATTTAATTTACCATTTTCATCAGTTAATGATTCCTACTCATTTATGAACATTATTAATAAATTACCAATCAACATCACGTTAATATTATTTCAAAAGATTTGACACTCAAAGAAAAGGATATAAATTAATATATAACAAATGATCCATCAATATGAATGTAAAGTTTGTAATTCAATATTTTTGATAGAAAGAAAGAGAAAGTGCTGTGAAGTGTAAAATTTAAAATTAATTAGTCATCACAAAAAAATTGTTTCATTCACTGTTATATGATCTGATAAGTAATAATGTTATATGGTCATCAGAAATCGGTCTAACGTATTAATTAAATCCAAAATTTTTAATTTAATGAATTTTTTAACAATTTAATGGCTATATTACTTACTTCAAATCATTTTCAACATTTTCAGCCAGTAGAATTCATTTCTCTTATTACGGAAATTTTAATCATAATGATAATAAAATGACAATATATTCTCTTCTCTTATAACGAGAAACTAAATGAATAAATCCAAGCAATAAATTTAGAAAAAAAATTATTTCATTTATTAGCAATAATTTAAAAATTTGCAAATAAAATTTAACATCATGGGAAAAAAAAATATCGATTATTTGCAAAATTTTTGTTTATTCCATTTTTGGTTAGTATTATTTGCGAAGTATTTACGAATCAACCAAACAAAAAAGATTGTAAGCTAAATTTTCATGAAAAATTTTATATTTTTCCTTTAATTTATCATTTTTTTCAAGCATATACATACAAATTTATATGTGTGAAATGGTTGAAAAGACAAATAATCAAACTATAAAAGTTTTTATATGAATTTTTTAGATCGTTTTCGTTTAATACAGTTAATTTTCGATTTCAGTTATCGAATATTAAAAGATGACAATAAGATGGTATAATTGTGGCTGATAAATGAATGATTAAAATATGATCTTAAATATATCTAATTATGATCGATCTAATTTTAATTATTTGGAATTGTCTTTCTCATTTAGTAGAAATAATTTTATTCATTGCAAATAAAATAATAATTAATGAAATAAAATGGAAAAAAAGTAAAAAAAAATTGTTTTGTAAATAAAAGTAAAATGAAATAATGGAGCAGAACGAAATGTAAATTAGCAAAAAAAAAGAATAAAAAAAATGTATTATTGGGAGAAAAATGAAAATGAAATTT